CCGTAAGTTCTCCAAATGGAATATTGAGCTGCGGTTGGCAGGAGGGCCATTAGGCACGGCGCTGTGACATGAATGCAAATGGATGCCAGCGCTGTCCCCAGCTGCACTGCGTGCTGCCGCTGGGCCTCGGGATGGCAGCCCCACCGCAGCCGCTCCCAGTGCTCCAGGTTTCTCTGGAACGGCGCGCCGACTCCAAGCTTTCAGCATACAGCCTTCCTATTACAGGAGGGACATTTTTAGTAGGTAGACACATTACCTGCTGTAAAATCCGTGCTCCTGAAGGAGGGCTCCAGCCACGGTTCCCGACTATCCCCACCTTTTGCTGGGCAACCTGGCTCACCCCATGCAGGCTCTGCGGCTTTATGAGTTGGTTTGTTCTCGCCCAGGCCCTGCACATAAAGTGCTATCAGCCAAAAACAGGCAAACAGCTCTGTGGGCAACACCACAACTTTGAGAGCTGGCTTTCCTTCATTCACCAAACCCTGTGCTGGAATCCGAGCAGATGGTGGGGCTGTATTTTGCCTGGAATTGGAGGCTAATGTTTACCAGATAACCACGTGTTGTTTTTGAAGTTCTGCACAATTATTTTTGTTAGTACTAAGCCAGTACTACACGCCTGCTCTGGTCAATTGGATGAGAAATGACTGCTAATGCCCAGATTGCAGGAAAATGAAGCTGGGTACCAAGGCCTGGCTGTCACTGCAGGAGGCCACAGCCAGGCACGCTGCCACTGCGAACACAGCCTGGGGCAGAGAAGCCTGGGCAGTCAGCATGGAAGGCTAGCACCTGTGCAATGGAACCCAACTGTCCTACTCAGGCCCTGGGGTCCCTTCCTTGCCCTGCAGCCTACATGAGAGCTTCACCTGCCGCCAGCTGTGTGGTGCCCACTCGCTGATCACATACCTGTTCTGTGGTACAGAAGGGATGCTGCCATCTGGGTGCTGTTTGGGACTGGGCAGAGCTCTGCAGGCCTCCCTTGCAGCAGACGGCCCGCCTGAATGGCACAAGTGACAGGACAGGCTGGCTCTCCACAGCCGTGATGTATTGAGAAGGGACGGACTGGAGCCTTGTGAGGCCTCATGCATTTCCTTCAAAAGCCTGTGATGGCCACGAGGGAGCTCTTGCAGAGTCTCAGCAATAGCAAACAGCCTTTTCGAATAACCCATATATATACACACATATATGCACGTATACAATAAAAAAAAAAAAGCCTTTTTGAAACCAGTGCTGTAACACCCAGCAGGAAGTAAACCGGGCTTCAAAGGGCAGGTGACAGCTGGCTGCTAGAAACACAAACTGGGGCAGTGAAAATACACCAGCAAAACAAAAGAAATCCTCTGCCCAAAAACAGTTTTAGAGAAAAACTGAGGGGGTTGCAAAAAATTCTCCAAGGTCTGCATGAGAAATAGCAGCTCCAGGACACTTCCCCTTGCTCCTGATCAGGAATGTCTGACAGGCAATGTAGGATGGTGCAGACAACAGTGAAAATCAGCCCGTTTGGTGCTGTGCTGCACTGCGGTGCAGGGCCACGTTGGTTAAACCAGAGGTTGCTGAGAGAAGTCTTTCTGCAGGAAGCTGTGACACACACCTACATACAGTACTGCTGTGTTAATACTAACATGGCAGCATGAACTGCAAGAGAAAGCATCTCAGAAAGCAAGATGCAAGAATACTGATTAACGCTGCTAATTCTGCACTGTCTTGAATCAGTATTGTCCAAAACCATCATTCAGTGTGTTTTAACATTACTTTCAACTGAAATAGTGAACTGGTTTTAAGTGGTAAATTACTGAGGTAATTCAAACCACAGTTTCAAAATTACTTGCCTAGCTGCGTTTCCTCTGGCCTTTTGAATATACTAGATCTCAGATTTGCAGAAATGAGAGCACACGTTTACTAAAAGAGATGGGGAGAAATGAAAACAGCTACAGTGCTTTAATTTTGGAGCTACACAAAAACATCAGCTGCCAATCCAGCTTAGCTGCTCGGCCTGATCTGCATCCTTCACCAAAATTGAGATTCTACTGGTGTAACTTTTAGGCAGCAGTAAGCTTAGAGAAACATGAAAAGTAAGCATACTCAGAAATCTTGTGTTACCACAAGCAGCTGTTATAGTTCATAACTTACAGCACTGTGCGACTGCCTCACAATTCAGATCCCACCTGTGCTCTTGGAAGCTCTTAGCAGTGTGGAGAGAAACCAAGTTCTCTTCCTTTGCTCCACTCAGCATCCAGCCCTTCAATCAAATTATGGGGAATTCACTTTAAATATGTGGGTTTTTTTTCAGTGTTCCTTTTAGGCAATAAATATCTTTAAAGCACTGCCATTCAGAAGCCAAATACCTTCCCCAAGAGCTACTGCCACCTCTACAGCACACAGGATTGAGCAGAGTATCACACAGACCGCCCTGCCTTCCAGCACTGCTCAGGGCAGACCAAAGATGGGTTCTGGTCTCTTACGGGTTGTGGAAAGAGCCTGCCATCACACTGCAAGCATTCCCCAAGACAATTTCATGTCTGACTACAATACACAAGTGCTGTATCTGACTTTGTGTAGATTCTCTTTTTCATGGAATCTAAAATGGAAAGATACAAACAATACTGTTTTGGGACAGAGGGGATTTCAAACATCGCTCACAGCAGAACGATACAAACCTGCATTCTACACACACAAGCAATGGTGTGGTCAGCAGTGAATGCCAGCACGCTTCCAGCTAACACTAATTAATGGAGCCACAGTCACGTGCAAAATAGTTTAAGACATGTGAGCATCTACAGGATTCCCTGGATTATTTGTGGATTCAATTAGACTAATCTAGCACCTGAAGGTACTTAAGCACACGTGGCACAAGATACTAAAGCAGAGATTAAGCCCTGAGTGCTTCTTTGGTTACTTTCAAACACGCAGGTGGCCCGTGCTTACCTCCTTCCTCTGGGACGCCCTGCACCCTCAGATGGCCCCATAAGGCAGGGCAGGCTGAGTGACAACTGCAAAATAAAGCAGCGGTCGGCGATCACTGCAATACTACAGCGGATCCAGTTGGTGAAAGCCACTTTCACAGCCCTGGAAATCCAGGGGAGCGGATTTCCAAATAAAATGGAGCTATTTCATGATTCAAGAAATAGTTACAAACAACATACACTGAGCAGAGATGAGCAACTGGTTTCACAGGCCAAAAATCGGAGCCGTTCTGGTTGTTTCCAAGAATGCCGGTTTATTTCTCAGAACTTACCTTGCATGTTGTACAACATTGTAATTATGGGAGAAAAGCACCACAAGTAAATTGTTTTTTTATTAAGTAGTATTCTATACTTTCTCATTTATTTATAGCAATAATGAAAGAGATGCAAGAAAAGCCTCAGAGCTTCGCTGTTGGTTTTAAAGATCTCCAATTCAGTAACCAGTTTGCTACAAGTATAAATGAGGTTTCAGGTTTTCTTCCTTTCAGAAAAAAAAGCAGCATTCTGATCAATCCATGTGGTATTGGGCTACAATGCACTTCCTTGTTTTATATATAAAACCGTCTCTCCTGCTTCCACCCAGGGCACAACGTGAAATTAAAGACTTTAAGTTTCCGTGTATACATATTTAATTGCATGGAATATGAAGGAGAAGATGCTTGTTATTCCCCCTGGGAAGAACAAATCATCCGTTCCTCACCAGCAGCTGAGAAATTTGCTAGACTCACGTGCCTTGCATGTCTGAGGCACGGCACGGCTGAATGCAACAGCATCATCACAGTAACCTGTTGGAAAACCTACATTTTCAGTTGTGTTTGAACTACCACAGGTATTTAGATAGTGAGATACGACTTGTAGTGTAATTCATCTTGCTCCCCTTACCGCGCCTGGCATTCATTTCCACAAGACTGGCAATGTAGAGAAAAACAAAAACCAACCAACAGCATAAGAAATGAACTCATAGGATCTGATGGGAAGCCTGCAAAAAATGTGATGGTCACAACAGACTGGTAGTTAAAAAAGAAAGAAAAAACTAACATTTATCACAGCAGTAACCTTTTGGAAAATTCTCCTCTTTAACATTTCAATTTGTGTCCACTCTAAGAAAAAGCCACCATATTTTTCAGCTGTGTTCGTCATCATTCACATTATAAACATCCCTCATTTAAATATGCTGTAGTAATAAAAAGATGTTAATTAGTAGGCTTATGTTTTTTTATGTCTATCATCTTAAATTACACATAAAAGTGTAGAATCTAAAACCACGATATATCTGATACAGAAAAAACAACAATATCATGAATGGTCAATTTCCAAGTTTAGTTCAATAAATGCCAAGGAGCTATTTTGCACTATATAAAAAAATAAGTTAAAACCTAAAAAATAAAAATAAACCATAAATAAGAAGGATTAATGGACACTGTTTTTCTGCTTTGATAATTTCAGGTATTTTGAAATGCTTTTTTATTACCAGAGGCAACTCAGTGTGAAGTTCTGGTTGCATCAAGAGGAAGGAAACTATTCCAATGGCTCAGGTTTTTCTTCCTCCACTCTACAGAGCAGTTGTATTTCAAACAGTTTGTACTCATGTTTGTTCAAGTCTGCACGTTCAAGTAGTAGTGATCATCAAATGAAATGCATACCTACCTAAAGTGGGCAAGTTTGGGACTAAGCTACGACCGACTCGAAGCCACGCTTATCACAAGGTTTCCTTCTGAGACGAGTTCATGAAGCACCTTTTTATCACGTGAACTATTGAAGTGTTACCCAATCCCAGTGTAAGAAGGATGTGCTTTTTTTTTTTTTTTCCTCTTTAAACAAAACAAAAAAGAAAAGGTTTCAAAGCAAGATGACCAAACATTTTGGCCTACTGTGGAAAAGAATGCAAATCTCTGTTATAAAATTACTTGTCAGCAGCAAAAAGACTCTTCAAGTGCCTTAACCACTGTACAGCTTGATAGTTTTAATACTTCAATTTTTTTTCCATTATTCATTGTTGAAGAAATAATTTCACAATCTCAAATCAAAGTCAACACTGCAGTGAGGAGAGCTTTTCTACTTTATTACAAAGAGAAGAAGCCTTTATGTGGTCAGAAAATACAAGATTGATCTTTTTTTTCTCTTCCTATGAAACGCTGCTGTTCAAACAGCCAGAGTGAATTGTCTCAGTTCACTTAAGTCCCATCACATTCACTTGGGTATGGATGTCCTTGGCTGCTGAAAATCTGGCCCTTTAGTGCACAGGGCGACAAAGTAGTCCCCTGACCAGCAGTTCCAGAATGTCCCGTTTTCATATATTGCATCCATGCACACCTCCTAAAAATGAGGTACAGCAGGGCAAACATTTTCCAAAATAGATGTCATATATATAATATATACACATTCGTACATACATACCTTTATTCATGTGATGTCCAAAAATTTAAAAAAAATGTACACATTTATTACAAAATCGTAACAAAGACTGGACAGTGTTTTGCTCATTCTGGAAAGATGAAGCTCAGTAATACACAACTCTGGAAACTAACCAGAGACTGTGGCAATATCTTTCTTCTAAACAGTCAGATATTCTTGCATTAAGCTTGGCGAAAACTGCCTTTCAAAAACAGAAGGGGAAGTAAAATGAAGGAAGCAAACCTTGCTCATCTTTCCAAATGAAATACGAGAAGGATCTTCACATAAAAATGCACAAACATTTTTTATTACCAATAGTGCTACAATGAACAATGCAAATTTTGTTGTCTAATTTTTTGTCTTTTTTCTTATTTTTTGTCTTTTTACATTTTGGAAAACTAAGTGGTAAACTTTTGTCAGTGTACTCGCTTGTCTTTACAGACCCAAGCTTGTCTGCTGGCAAAAATAAAACAAAAACAAAAATTCAGACCCTGCTCAAACTAAAGAAAAACAATTACAAATTTAGTTGTTGGGCAGCACATAATTAGTAAGGCAGGACCTCAAATGGTGACCCTTCGCATGAGCCAATTGCCAGATCCTCAAGGAATTAAAACCAGGATGCCTGAGCCACATCAGTTCTGCAGTTATGTTGAGTATTGTGCTGAGACAGCCATACCCCAAGAAAAGGGAAGTCTTTAGAAGGCTTGCTGAGCAGGGTTGTAGTTGAAGGTTGATGGCAGATGAGGCCTTTCTTCTAATTTGTCATATTCCAGATGGAACTCCTACAATCAAAAAAGAAACAAACAAAAAAGACAAAGCCAAATAAAACTATGTGCCATTTAACTGCTGAAAAGTGTTATCCACATGCCATATTTGAAAAGCACAAATACAAAAGAGATCAAGTCTTAGTCTATCTTGAGGCAAAACCACGCAATTTCACTATCTTGGGTTCTGTATTTTAATTACAAAAAAGCCAATATCCTGAGCCACTACATCTGGAACGTGTGGGTTCCCCACCACTTTTTTTTAAATGGTACTTTACTCTCAGAACTCTTGTTATGATCTCAATTATACAATATGTACACCACACACTCACAAATCAGCTCATGCCATGATTGCGTTATGAATAAAGGTTCCTGTCTTTCAACAATTCAGATGTACAGAGACTTATTCTGTATGATCTGAAGTTTTGAGATATTTTGGGGGTATTCTCATAGGCCCAGTCTTAAGTTAAACTAGCTAGGTTACACCTTAGCACAACAATGGGGAACATGACAAAATTGCTAGACACACTCTACTGAAACCTAGGTAAGCCAGAACTGAAGAAAAATAATCTATCACGTCTCACATTCCAATTTAAGCTGCAGATTTATCCAAATCCTTGTGTATGTCCTGAGATCCTTCATATTACATCCTTCTTTGAAAACATCTCTCACAAGAAATTTGCCTGGTGTTTTATAAACAACCATTCAGAATAAAAATCTTTGCCTATGTACTCAGATGCTACACAAGGAACTGATGCATAAACAAGCAGCTTCACTGTCTCACTGGCACAACCACCTGACTTCCATCTGAGGGATTTGGTTTGCCTACTTGTGAAATATCTCCATGATGCAGCAGGAATTTTTAATCTGACTATAGCAACTACTACAAATCAGATTGCAGCTAGCCCTGATATCTAAATGCATCCTGATTATTACATAGAAAAAGCAGCTTTTCCCTTCGTGACCTTGCACACAACCCTCAATTAATACACTTTGACATTTGGTGCTCCTTCCCTCATCCATGCAGTTACAAGGAATTACTTAAATCTGACATTTTTCAGATCCTTTCCACAGCTTAACTTTACCTCGCCCCCATTTTATCTTCATTCAAGAAGTACAGAAAGTGGAAGCTGCACAACTGTTTTTTAAGGCTACTTCTTTTCTACACAAGGGATACACAGTCATTTCTTTTGCCTAGCTGAACAGGGAACCTCAGCAGACCTTCATCTGTATCTATGGAGAAAACTGAATCCCCCTCCTTTTACACACCGATAAAAACACTAAGAGTGCAGAATAGATTATCCTAAAGCACTCCCTCAAGTGCTTAAATAGTGCAACATTTCAGCTTTTATGAGTAGACAAACTAAACAGAAGAACAAATCAACGCAACATCAGAAATAAAATCTAGGAAAACTCAACTCCCCAAACTCCCTCCTTTAAGGCAAAGCAAGGTCTAACTAGTATGGAAAGAACATTCAGAACAAAACAAATGAGGGACAAATGCTAGGAATTCAGTAGGTCTCTATTCCCCAGAGAATACTGTACCTAAACCTGGAAAATCCTCGCAAAGCCTGTGTGTGAGGTTACAGCCATTTGCACTGAAGTGTTGCATGTTTGCCTCATTTTTGCTTTCCTGCTCTGCTTCAGCCAAGATGCGTTTCTTTTCTTTTCTCATTTTTTCCACTACACTCTGTGTGTAGCCTTTAAGTTACACATACAAGTGAATTGCTTTTGGCACTCCTGATTAACACTGCATGCCAGTTGGTGTGTGTTCCCCTCTCGTGCAGATCCACACATACGTGCTGGTACTGAAGGGATGCCTGCTCTCTCCTTTTGTCAGCAGCAAGGTCAAGGTGTACAGGTATTTTGGTGTCAATAGCTGGTCTAGGTAGGCTGGATCTTCATAATTCTGAAGTCATTTTCTAATAGGAAAAATACCTCTCAAACTTCTCTCCCATTCCTGGCTTTCAAAGTTTCCATTTTGCACGTAATCATGGAATCATTACTATCATTCTGTTGGGGAATTGCTTCTTTTTAACAGAATTGTAAACAGAAGAAAAGAGTTAATAATAAAAGCTTAGATCAGTTACCTGAACCTTCACATGCTCTGAAATGCCCTTGAAATTACACATGGAAAACAGCTACCGAAACCATTACGATGGAATCCATCACCCATAAATGGGGTTTCCAAACTTCCTGTGGCTGTGTGCTACTGCTGGGCCTGTCCAAAGGAAGGTTTTGGCACCTTGAGCACTGCTTTGTGGGCCACAAACTGGAAACCCTTTGTTTAGAAGGAGGAATACAATTTCCTACCAAAGTTGCTTTAGGAGCACATGAGCTTCAGACTGCTACTGATTTTAAAATAAAAAGGCTTACAAGAGCCTTTCTGACTTACAGTGTCAGCAATGCTGAAGCCCAATATCCAGCAGTATTTAAGAATACTTAGTTATATCTGACAATACCAAAAAAGAACTCACTGACGAAAATTTGTTGAAAACTAAAAGGCAATTATTTATTGTATGTAGAAAAATACTTGTATTACATGTTTTTTACACTTTAAGTCTTCCCTTTTTATTCCAAGGGCCACTATAGTTTAGGATGTGAACAGCATCACTGATATTTTTGAATATAAACAGATACAAAGTGTGAAAGTGCCACTTATCCATTGACAAACATTCGTTATGTTGTTTTACTTCTTAAATGGAATAATTATTAAAAATTAAATATCTCTTAATAACCAAGGAAAATGAGCACTAAGTGTATCTGGAAACTTAGGGCACACGTGCAACACTACATAAATTTTCTATGCAATTAAATCAGTTCCTTCTTGTGACATTCTGAAAACTTTTTACATCAGCCTGCACACAAACAATAATACGTAAAAATACTAGAAGAAGAATCGTTTCAGGTGATCCATAGCATTAATAGACTAAGCCAAAGCAAAGTTAGCTGGATAAGAATTGCCCAGAGCACAACTTATTCTGGGCTATGTAGTCCCATCAAAGGACAGCAATAAAAATTCAAGTGGGACCAAAAAAGCAGTATTTATGCTGGCTCAAGGATGGGTGCAAAGACCCAAGTTTAAGGAGGGCCTGAATCCAAATGCTACGGCACATCTCTGTTAGAAGAACAAATTGAACATTCTACCATTTTAAGATCAGTATTAATACTTTTATAATTACTAGAAACTCATTTAATATACAGGCAGCAACTCTTACAAACAAGTAAACGCTTCGAAATTTAACCTTTCTCCAGAAAGAACTCCACATTTTATAGATACAAAATCGAAGTATACAGGTTATGTTACTTTTTCCTCTCCTTACATGGGATTAATTCTCCTTACTTTTCAAAGGAGAAATTCCAGACAGTCTGCTTCAGACAATTTAAATCAGGATTTCAGTAAACATGCAATTGTAGAAGGCATTTTTGGTCTCACATCCACTTCCCTTCCTCTCTCTTTCACGTCTCCTCTACAGCAGCACGCTATAAAGCCAAATCCTCAGTGAAAAATCAAAGTGCCTTTAACCATATTGTACTTCCTACATGCCCTAGGATGAAAAACCACATATGGAGACATATTTGTAGTCAGCATTTTCCTGTGTTCTGTTTGGCATTTAAGGTAATTTGAAATTTACTTGTTAACATTCTCTCAATATTTAAGCCACCTATCAATATGGAATTAACAAAATCTTAATAGATAAGGAGCTCTCTATTATTTTGTTTAAAAACTCAGCTTTTTTTTTTTTTTTTTTTTTTCTTCAATTTCCTTCTTTTAGGAAATAGAGTATTAGGAATAGAATACACAGCCTATTCTTTAATTTACAAAAAGAAAGAAAAAATGTATTTTCATTGAAGTATGTAGTCTGCTTTACCAAAATGTGTAAAAAACAAACAAACAAAAAACCCTAGGATACTATCAAAAAAATCTACTAATCCTTGTTCTGTTATTATAAACCTAGCTGTAAGACTTTCTAACGTTATTCAAAGTAAATAGTTACATTTTATTGTATCAATTATAATTCAATATAACTTTTAATAACTGAGTTACTAATTTACAGGTACAATAAATACACAAGCAGATAATTGCATAATGCAACTTCCTCAAGGCACAACACATTAAAATACGTGCTGCCATCTATTTGAGCATATACACTATAACAACAGACAAGTTTATAAAGTACCGTGAAAAATAATTTAATTTGCATATATAAATAAGAGAGTAATTTACCAGAAATAATTCTTGTTTGACTGCTTCAAAAGAGCACTAATGAAGCCATTAAGCAACAATTACTATTGTGGCCTTCTAAGGAATGGTATTCCCAGTACTCACTAGTAATGCAGCTCTTACACTAAGAGACTGCTATTTATCAGAACTCTTTTTTTCCCCAGATTGTTATATTTTTAATTTCCTGAACCACTGATTAATACTTCTGTGATTGATAGAAAAAGTTGCTTGGCTGTATTTTCCTTCAGTTTAGAGGTCATCACATACTGCCATTTTTGTTTTACTCCTCATAGGAAAAGTCTACAGCAGAAACTATCAGAGGTGACACCATTACCATACAGTGCCAAGACCACACTTCACATATTTATAGAAATTCTCATTTACTGATCACAGAGGGAACTCTCGCAGAAGAGTTTCCAGCAAGTGATTCCTTCTCCATGCAACACCATACCAATTTTTCCTCGAACCCTTCTCTAGACTCCTGTGATCAATAGTTAACTTGCCTGGTGCCCTTCACACCCAACTAAAACCAAGTTAAAAATACAAAATGCAAAAGAACCTGTATAGAACCTGGGTAAAATCATTTGGAGAACTCATTTTGTGCATCTCTGTTTCATCCCTACAGCCATGAATACCACTTATACAAAGCCAGCTCTACTCTTTAACAGAGGAAGGACGAAAGGGCCAACAACTCAAGCGCTGGATACTGAATTTCATGACAGTACTTACAACTCCCAGTAAAGAAAATACTGTCTTCAAAAGTAGTGCTTAAGCATCAAGTAGTAGCTTGATACATTCACTACAGGTAGAAAAATGAGAGACACTAAGGATGTCACTATCCTTAAACAACGGCCATCACTTCCTTCTAGTAAAATAACTTTTTATTTCCAAATATAGTAAAATTTCAATCTAATCTACTGATGTGGATACCTACATTGGACTTCTATTGCTCATTAACAAATAGAAAATGATAAATTGACTCCAAAGAAGAAATCTATCCTTTCAAAAAGTAATTACTCCCTCTCCGAAGATCTTAAGTAATAAAATAACCTTAAACAGTGCCTTGGGATACCTAACAAGCTATATTCAAACAACAAATCAACAATTTAAGCAGAAATAAAATTCTCGGTTTTATTTAGGTTCTCTTCTGAGGGGAGAGATGTTTTTGCTTTAAGGTCTTGGAATCACCTTGTATGTATGCATTTTATATATATATAATAAATTGCACAAGCACAGCCTGCTATTAAAATTTTCCATTAGGAAGCTTTAGCTTTGTTATGACCATTGGAAAAGCAGTAAAACCAATGAGTCAAATGTGCAAACGGACTGATGAGTGCCACATGTCATTGGAGATGACTAAAATGTAAATTTCTCAGAGGGCTGGACAGACAAAGCAAATTTATTCAATAAGAAAGAAAAAAAAAAACCAAAACCAACACGTCTAGTTAATCTTCAGATGAACTAGAACACTGAATTCTAATGCCTTTAATTTAGAGCTGATGTTTGAAAGCACACCAACCAACACATAACTATTCAATGGAATACTTATGTTATCTTAAAAGTATGTAGATGCAGCTTGACCACAGAAATGAAATGCCTTCTGTGCAAGCAATTCAGAATTTTGGCTTTCCAATTAAATGAAATATCTAAACAGAAGAATGTGCATAGTTCCAACATATAGGAATCTTGTTCAACATCTCAAGATTTAGTCTGATCTGCCATGTGATTACCAGAAAATAAAACGAACACAAAGGAGTATGGTCAGACGTTCTGTAGGTACGGTACATGTTCTAAGTTTCTTTATCATCAATGAATATGCCACGCTGGTTAAAACTTGAAGGAAAATCATGCCACTGCTATATAATTCCACATAACTAGAACAGGTTGGCTGGTCACAGCCAAAGACTTCTAATCAATGGTTCTGTCAGGGTAGAGGCCAGTCACAAGCAGTGTCCCCAAGGGACACTGGTCTCGGGACCAGTGCTCTTCAACACCTTTATCAATGACATAGAAGATGGCATCAAGTGTGCCTTCAGCAAGTTTGCAGATGACACCAAGCTGAGTGGTGCAGTTGATACGCTGGAGGGAAGGGAAGCCATCCAGAGGGACCTGGATAGGCTGGAGAAGTGGGCCCATGTGAACTTAATGAGGGTTAACAAGGCCAAGTGCAAGCAGTTGTACTTGGGCCAGGGCAATCCCAGGTGTTTATACAGACTGGGGGAAGAACTTTTAGAGCAACCTTGCAGAGAAGGACTTGAGGGTCCTGCTGGACAAGAAGCTGGACATGAGCCAGCAGTGTGCACTTGCAGCCTGAAAGGCCAACTGTGTTTTGGGCTGCATTAAAAGAGGAGTGCCCAGCAGGGAGGTGATTGTCCCCCTCTACTCAGCTCTTGTGAGGCCCCATCTGCAGTACTGCATCCAGGCCTGGACCCCCAGTGCAGGAAGGATGTGGAGCTCTTAGAGCAGGTCCAGAGGAGGGCCACTAAGATGATCAGAGGACCTCTCCTATGAGGAAAGGTTGAGGGAACTGGGTTTGTTTAGCTTGGAGAAGAGAAGGTTCCGGGGAGACCTCATTGTGGCCTTCCAGTACTTGAAGGGAGCGTATAAACTGGAGGGGAAACACCTGTTTATGTGGACAGTGATAGGACAAGGGGAATGGTTTTAAACTAAGATAGAGGAGGTTTAGGTTAGATATTAGGAGCAAATTTTTCACCCAGAGGGTGGTGACGTACTGGAACAGGTTGCCCAAGGAGGCTATGGATGCCCCATCCCTGGAGGCATTCAAAGCCAGGCTGGATGTGGCTCTGGGCAGCCTGGTCTGCGGGTTGGCGACCCTGCGCATAGCAGGGGGGTTGAAACTCCGTGATCTTTGAGGTCCTTTTTCAAACCAGGCCATTCAATGATTCTATGAACTAAAATTAAATGGGGTCAGCAATTTTTTGAAAAATTATTCAACTCAGACTCGAGCTAGGTGTGATGGCTGCATGCATACTGCTTTCATACATCTTTTCCAGCTCAAACCAGAGCTGAATGCAATCCCTTATAGGGCAGGCTACTGCCAGAAGAAAGTATCCCTTTTTTCAGGTTAGTGAATGACAACACTGCTGATCACTCAAATGTTTTTGCACTTATGTACATTAGAAAGCATTTGCTTTCATGGGGTGAAGAAATCATAATCAAGGAAAATACACTGTACAAAATGGTTTCAAAGCTGAAAGACACTAAAATATTGGAAAGTATTTTGAAAATACTTTGAAAAGAGGATGGAGAAAAAGAAGCACAATTCCATAAATTGCAAATAAAGGGTCACGAATATTGACAGTATTCACAACAGAAGGGAACAAATTATCACAAGTGGAAAGGGAGAAGACCGTTGTTCTTTTTGTGTTTTTTTTTAATGCCTCTTGGCCTAGAATACAGAAAACAATCATGAAAATATCTCCTTCCTAAGAGAAGCAAGCTATTTTGAAGTACTTGAACATTCAAACAACAGAGCACTGAACTCCTACATTATCCTCAATAAGACAGTAACTAGAAACAACAACAAAAAGAAACCAACCCAAGCCAACTCCTCCCACCCTAAACACTTATTCTAAATCTAAAGATTGATGTGGTAACTCCCTACTTGACTTTCTAAAGCAAAATAGTAATATTTGCAAGCAGAATTTTTAAAATGACAAATTATTTTTATTCTAGAATACTGTACTTGAAAGAAAAGCTTTCAATGTTAATAAAACTTGTGATGAAAGCAAGAAGTTCCTTTTCATTCCCAAAGAAAACAGGAAATGGAGAAACTGCTCCTCCTTTTCCACAGACAAACCAGTTTGGTTTTTTTTTTAGGCAATCTCTGTTCTCATGCACATCAGAAACTGAGATAACGAACTGGAATGATATGAGGTTAAAAGCTGAGATTTTGGGATGGACTTCGGGTTTTGTCCTTCTAAAAACATATGGCTGATAGGCTTAAAATATCCTCACAAGGGAAAATATATACCTTAGCTACTTTCCTCCAGTTAAGACAGTCAAAGAAGTAATATGTTCCCCTCTCGTATGTATTGGTTTTCATTGTTGGCTCCATTCCGGGTGCCCTGGTGATCCATACTCGCTCTTCTTTGTGGTATCTCCAATCCCGGTTAAATCTTTCATTTTCAACAGGAAGGAAAAACAATTCTTAGCATTAGTTATTTCAGTTTGACATCGCAGACTGCAATTTTAACATTTTAAATAAAAATTATACAATGATTCAAAATCAAAATGATATTTCTGAGACATCATTACAGTTGCTATCACATACTACTTCCATATAATTATTACACCTTAATTTCATCACACACAAAACTTCAAGAAGCCTGGTAAGTTCAAACAACAAACTTTTTTATGACTAATGTTTAATAACTAATGGCATTCATAAACTTTTGCTTGACACTGCTTTATAAGACTGCAAAATTGATGAGACTGGCATTTGATTTCTGCTATACGAATGAAAAAAGTGGAAAACGGAACCAACGTAGGAGGAGGTATTCTGAAAAAGTTTTCCAGCTTCAGATCGACTAAGCTTCTCTCTCCAGCATTGTTTTATCTTTTTTAATATTACATGCATTACTTCATTACTGCAAAAGATTAAATCATGTAAGACTGACGAAGTAGTTTGAACGTACAGCTCTACTGCCGCTAATAGCTGTAATACATCTCCTCCATTCATGTAATAGAGATAAAACAGGAGATCTTCTCCATATCGGCCGAGTTTTATTGCAGCCAGCTGCAAAAGATGGAAGAAAACGAGGATGAAAAATCACAATATATAAATGCTTTAAGACATAACATCCCACTTAAACAACAGAAAGATACGTGCAGAATGTGCTTCCATCCTACGTGTATTGTAAATCATAATCTAACAGGAGCAATAATTATTATAACAATCATTTCTCTTCATTTTGTTAACCTTTTCAACTAACAGGAAGATACAGAAGGAAAATAAACAGAAGAATCAGCAAGATAGAATTTTATCCCCCATCTATGCGTATCCTCATCTACTCTTTTTAGTTCTTTAAACGCTTGAATGTATTTGCTTATTTCACACCCTATTAAGTAACACGAGCACAGTTTCTTGCCATATTTCTCAATAGTCCCTCTTAAGAAACTATAGTACTTGAGAGAAAATATACCTAACAAGAATTCCTGTTTGTGTATACATGGGAAGCAAGAGATAAGTACGACAGTATCTTGATTCACAGTTCCGAGCCAATCTCAGGAAAAAAAAACAATTTAATATGGCATTTGAATATTAGAGTATGCTGAATTATACTGAACATGCTCTTTGCATAAAGAGCATACTAGTAAAAAAACAATGTTTTTGTTAGCTAGCTATGCCTGTACTCATTTTTGTTTTTCCTACTCTTTTGTAAGGTGAAATGGGTGCATGATATATCTGATCAGCCAGTTAACATATCACTGCTCTTAAAAAGATTGAGAACATCCACTGAATGCGTTGAATTTGGCACAAAAAATCTGTTTGAAAGAAAATTTAGAAAATTACTGGTAATAAACTAATGAAAAATACACACACATACTCACCTTATCCCTAATGTGAATGTTAGTTAAGTACTCAGATGGAACATGGAAGTCTAAAAAAGAATCGGAATTGATGCAACTATTAAGACTTGTAAATGAGCACCATTTTCATACATTAACATTGAATTAAATAGCCATTTTTTTCTTACCTATGTCTTGAGGTCGACAAGGTGATGATGCCCAAGGGGATGCAAATTTGGGATAAAGATTTCTGTGGGAGGAAAAAAAAAATTGCAAGAAAAAGAAGGCAATAAACATACCACACAACCAAAATCACTCCACGTGGGGTGAGAAGGATAGAGAGAGGGAAAGTTCCAACCCATTTTTCCTAAAATAGCTACATTTATTCATTTTCTTTCTAATGTTCAAAGAAAGGCTGCATTTAAACAATCTTGGAATCTCCAGAGCCAAGATTTCATTTTTTTAATCTATCATTGCTTTAACTTAGGTCATTCTTTAAGTGTCAGGAATCCAATTTTAAACAGATTATTATTATTATTATTATTATTATTATTATTATTATTTGACCTGAAATACCTGAGCCTGGTGGGTTCTGATTTATTAGCCTATAATTTAAAAGGAAGAGAAAAGCTTATACTGGCAGATTCTTTTTTTTTTTTTTTTTTTTTTAAATTTTTATTTTTATTTTTAATGAACCAATAAAGATGTTCTTCTTTTAAATTCCAGTGGCTGCAAATACACTAAATCCCAGCACAATATGAAGATACGCTTATTATTTAGTATTTTTCTTTCGTAGAAATTTTGCTACCAACTCAAAAATAAAGACCCTCCTCATTCACTTAACAAAGAGAAAACAATGAACTTTCCAACTCAATGATGATGTACTGAGGAATGAGTTTTCTATTTAATGGATAAAGCAGTGAAAAAAGGTCCAAGGAAAAGAACTTTTTCACAGGTAGCTACAGCCAGGACAACATGCTATGGGGCACTTAGTGGAAATGTTACTTGTATTAGGGTACATCCTCTTCAACTCTTGCTTCCTGCCTCCCTCTAGGTTAACTAATCTTAGTGAAACAGCGAAAGTTTGTGCTACAGAGCCTGAAGCAAGATTTCAGTAGCAATATCTGCAAATGCTGGAAATAACCAAAGCATTCTTTCTACTGAAAGCCTGGATAGTCATTGCCCAATGAGAGGAGCTTCCTGCAATGCCATCACATCACGCATGCCCTAGTGACCTTGTGTCCTAAGGTAAAGAATCGAGGATTTTTACTCCAACTGCACCACTTAAATGCAATAAAAACAAGGGTTTGCACAGTCTCTCCCTCCTTTATGACACAAATAAAACGCTACTAATTTAACATTTTTCAGGAGGTACTGAAAAGCATACAGCTTATTCAATTAACGTTCCAGCCTATTTCATTAATATTTCAGAAAGCTTCTGAAAATGAAAGAACTGCTACATAACCTCTAAAGAATTAAATGAAGCGCCATTTTTATTTTCAGCTTCGTTTGTGTAGAATTTTAAGCTATTTTTATAGTTAGCTTAGTTTATATTTAAGCTAAGAGAATTTAAGAAGCAAAAACATGTTGCCCAAGGAAGTTGTGGATGCCCCATCCCTGGAGGCCAGGCTGGATGTGGCTCTGGGCAGCCTGGTCTGGAGGCTGGTGACCCTGCACATAGCAGGGGGGTTGAAACTCGATGATCATGGTGGTCCTTTTCAACCCAGGCCATTCAATGATCCCATGAAAAGCATGTGTCTTAAGGAAATATGGGACTGTATAGGCAACACATAATCATTATTTAAGCAATAAGTGTTAACCTATCTATACAGAAAAGAGGTACAAAACTAGGAGTTATTAGGTTTACTTCAAATAAAGATATATGCAGAATTCTAAAATCGTATTTCTACAAGCACATTTACTGTGTGTTTAAATGGGATAAGTGCCTTTAATATTAGAAGCATTTCACAAGGCAGAAAAAGAAATCTGCTTTCCACATGCAAAATGCTTTTATTTTTTCTAAATGGCAATTTGTAAATCAAGCAAAGGATACTTAACATAAAGCAAGACACTAAGGATAGCACAGGCTTTTTGATAAACTGCTTTGTAGTATAAAATAAAACCAACTTTATGACACAGAATAAATACTAAACCTATCTCCTCCATCCAACACATAAATATCTAATGTACAGTAATTATATGTTAAAAGCTTTTAAAAATCGTGCTCTTTAACATACTGAAAAAAAGCAGCAGTATGTCACATGTATATATTTTTTATGTATACACACATAGTAACGGTCTGGATGTTGCACTCAGGAGCTGTACAGTACATCTTTAGGTCATCCCTCAGCAGAAAATCATGGAATGGTTGGAAGGGGGCTTAAGATCATCTAGTTCCAAATTCCCTATAGACTATTCAATAAGTGGGTGAAGGTTAAGTTTTATTTTAAGCATCAAAACTAATGCATAACATTGCATAAAACATCAAATAATATTTCCAGAACTATTATCCTACTACTTCTACATGCCAGCTGTTAACTGAATGATGTAACCAGCTTTCACCTGTGTTGAGGAGCAGTAACAGAGGAAGCTCAAGCATTCAGATACAGATGTACTCTAAATTATTTTACGAACAAAGGCATTCTATTTTCAGCTGATTATCCTCCAATTACTTTTGAGCAATCTGTACTGAGAATAGTAAATAAGTTTAGTATCAGGAAGATCCAGGAGATTTGTCTCCTGGTGAGTGCTAAAAATTCTGGAAATACTGAGGAAAAGCAGCAAACTGTGATCAGTTTAACTGTTCTTTATGTATTCTCAGCATGCTGAGGGAGAAGGAGATGGGAGCGAAAAACTGCTAGATTCAATAGGGAAAGGGAATTGTGAGCCTAGCACGAGCAAAGCAAATAGTGTGTTCAAGTAACATATTCCGCAAATAACGTGCAACTGTACCAGAAGGATGATTCTGGGAGGTGGTTTTGAAATATTTTTAAAAGTGCCAATGATATGACTATTTGACTATTTGCAAACATTAGAGAAATATTGTCTAGAAATGATTATTTCTAAAAAGTTACGCCTCGAGAAATAAATATGTATGTTAATGCCAATCACTTCAAGATGCAAAAATCAGGAGCTACTTTTTCCCTGCGATTTCCCTCTCACCTTGATACTCCCATTCAGAAATCTTCCCTGCTCTCACACATTCAGAATGCAGTTGTATATAAAACTTATGACAGGAAGTCCATATATATACTGTTTGGTCTTTGGCTAATGTTTTATACGTAAGATTTGAAATGCATGCACTACACTGCCAATAAGGTTAATATTACACAAATCTCTGCTGATACAAAGATTCCTTTGTCCAAGGAATTCAGACATCTCATTTTTTCCCCAAAGTGCCAGAGAAATAAGGTAAGTGACTAAGGCTCATTTCTGCATTCTCTTTGCTGAAAGATTAAGAGTCATTTACATAATGTAAGGCAAAAATTCAGGACATTGAAAGACTGTATCAAAGGATAAGGTCAATGCATATTTCCTATCAACTGTATTTTATAGATTAAAATAAACTAGAGGCCTGTTGTTCCCCCTCAGTGCCTCCCTCAATGAGAAGGGTATAAAATTCTTCACGACTGAAGAGTCACGATGGGACATTCTCAGCTGCAAAAGTACCAGAAATTCAATTTATCTCACACAACTGTAATCATGAAGACAGGCATTTTTTCCCAAACTGGAGAAAAATCTAAGTTCCTTCTGTAACAAGTACAAAAAAAAGAGGCTTTCTGGGCTAGTGATTCACTTTACTATTCCTAAGAACCTCTCTTACCATTGTGAACTTGCAATTACTCTTCCATCCATTACCTCTACAGGATGCCTAAATACTAAACTGAGCTGAAACAAATGGCTGGAGGTTAACTGTAAGATCATATTTTCATCTTTGGTGTGGAGTAAACTCTGTAGATGCACTAGTATCTATGCCCCAAATTCCTGATATCTCTATATAAAAATATGTTCAAGGAATACTATTATTAGAAAAATAATGTGTATCTGAGGTTTATTAACAATACACTGTTAATTCCTTGAAGAAAGTCCTAAAAAGGTAGGACAATAAGCAAAGCCACTAGGCTTACCAAAAGCCTGCAAAACAAATCTCAGTATTCCTTGAGGCACAATTATCTTGTTTATGGAAGTTTTATTTTACTGTCATTACATTTTCAAATTTTATTTAGCAAAATATCTTGTGGGTTTGATGCTTATGTGAACTAAGTGAATCTATTACTGTGAACGACAGCATAATGAAAACAAAACTGAAGACAGTACTAAAAGACAGAAACTTACTCAGGAGAGTTGAGATTGAGACCTAGTGTTGTTAAATCACTTCCTAATGCAAGATGTACCATTCCTGGATCTGTCTCTGCTGCCCTGATGAATGTTAACAAGCCAATCATTCCAAACTGGTCCGTCACCATCCCTTGTGGAATGTTGGTAACCCGACCTGGGCAAGAAGAACAAATTAATTTTCTCTTTTCAAGAGGTGAAGAAATCCACACGATGATCTAAAGGCCTGCCAAAACCTTTGAAGAGGACAAAGTGGAATGATACATACCATCAGGTAACACCTGGATCCCTTTTTTCTGCTGGTTGTTGTTTTGCGTAGTTGAACTTTTATCTCCAGGAAACTTGGGCCCATCTGTGCTGGATGATGTTTTGCCTGATGTATTCAAATTCTATTAAAAGTAATTTGAAGAGTTGGTATGATGGAAATAATCCAAAAAGGAAAAGATTGGTTGACCATATCTTTCATCCGAGAGTTCTGAACAGTACTTCAAGTCACACTGATATATCAGCTACTAAAATGTGACAAAGCTGAAGTTCTTGTACTCTGTTCACAAACCTTATGTAATACTCAACACTTCATAAAGTACACTTCCCATGCAATAAGAGCTATCAGTAAGCCTACAGCTTGCAATCTTGGAAAATATTTTATGCTTGAGTTTGAATACACAATGAATGCCCCACGTATCTGTGTTTTTTCCAACAGCCTTGTTCCTGCAGTCCACAACACTCCATGATGCAGCAATAGGTAATAACTCAAGCCAATTTCAGGTGCAAACAACAAACAGTTGGCACCTTTGCAACTATCAGGAAAGAGATGTAAACACTACGTTTGGCAAGAAAACTGCAATAGCTCTCCAGGAGCCCACATACTGACAAAAGCTACTTTCCATAAGCATTATTTCTTTAATATTCTTTAAAACAAATTTGCAGTAACACAATATAATCATGTTTCGTCCCTTGTTTCTTACTGTACTCAATTCCAAGTGATCAGAACATTCTCTACACTGTAATCTGTCCACAGTTTCCAAGGAGAAGGCCTAATCCCACCTGTTTTGAAGTTACACTTTCCAGTTTTCATGCGAGTTTGTAGTCACTTCTAATACCTACCTGCCAGTACCACTGATTAACCAAATTTTGCAATTCTTAGTAAAACAATCAAACTAAAACATTTTGTCCAACACTGCAGAATGCTGTTCTCTGTCATCCAAATATTAATGTATTTATCTCTAATTTGTAATAAAAAACGCAATTTTAATTACAGATCTTTCAGAGTAAGCAGAAAAAAAAATCTTACCATCTAACACACAGTAATTAGAACAATACTTAAGATGCAACTAGCCTACAACATAACCACAAATGTAATAGTCTCTATTAAAATACCACGTTCCCTGTGCTTTCATATGCTCATCAATAATTTTACTTTCAAGTGGTATTTTATCACCTAACATTTAAAGGATTTGACAGCATTAAGAAAGGTGGTACGATGTGAAAATTACTGCTACTGATGAGGGAGACCAACAGTGACAACTGAGCTGCAATTGGTAGAAAAAGAAGTTATGAATTGCAGAACTTTAAAAATACATGTCAATTCTTGTAAATAATTTTGAAGTATTCTTGTGAGTTCTTCCTCACTCCCTCTCACTCTAAATACATGAGGGTATGCAGAGCAAGGTCAGTGACAGATGAAACCTGACTTACATAAAATTTCTCATTAATTTAAAGGGGAACTTTGAAAACCTTACATTATAAATATATTCCACTGCCTATTTTGAAATACAGCAATCAAGAGAAGTCTGAACACTGGAAGCAAAAGAAGCTTTACTTACAGATTTATTATCATCATTACTTGATGTTGGGTCTTTGTAGCTGGAGCCTGGTAATGCTGGGAAATCTTCATTGTGTATTGAAAAGTCCTGGGACTGCTCACTTGCTGGTTTTGTTACCATCCCAACTATTATCAAAACGAAAGCAGGAATAACATTAAATGACTGCTAGGAAAAAAATTCCTGCTGTTGATCTTGCTTACTACTCATTTTCCTTATGTGCACATAATACAGCAGAAACAATTTAAGAAACCAACGACTCAGGTAAAACGAAACAAAGCATATTCATTCAAAACATCCACACAGATTAAAGCCTCTATTTAAGTGTGAGCTGAGAAACACTCTGGGTTAAATTCATAGACAAATCCACTGCTTTAAGAATGAAGCCTGAAACTTTTATCAAGAAAAGCACCTGTTTTGCATATCTAAATTTAAAAAAAAATCTTTGCAGGCATTATTGAAGTAGTTTTTAAGGAAATCCACTGAAGCAAGGATACACTGCTTTTAATGTTAAACACTTTTTCCTCCATTCTCTAATCTCTTTAGAAGCAGGTATCCTTAAGATGCCCAGCTAACTTGCAACAGAACATATCACCAATGTAATACCTGCCTGTGACATATGAACGACTCCTACTTTCAGTACTGAAACTGAAAGCATTTAGCCTGCAACTCTCAGTGCTCTGACCCTAATTTTGAAAAAGTAGGCCAGTCACATTAGAATATGGATTCTGACTACTGAAAAGCAACATTTTTCTATGCCAGTTCAAAACAGAACAAAAATCCTCCACCAGACACCCAAGGGCAAATATTCTTTTCTAAGACACAGAGAAGTAATACAGTGACTCGTTTGAAAACTACACCAGCACAGTAAGAGATGGCAGAAGCAAGTGTAGGGCCTATTTTTCAATGTTTCTTAACAGACAATGTAAGATCTAAAATGGCTCAGTAGCTCACAACATATATGACTTCATATTGTACTCTTACGTTAAAGGTCAACGTTCCATCAAGAACAAAATATATAATCTCGTTTCCGCTGTAAACCTTTTGCTTTCATAGTCACTATGATTTCTTCCACTGGAAGAACAGTACTGATCAAGAATTAACTATATTGCATATTTTCCTTCTATCTAATAAATGTTTGAAGGCTCATTTTCTGAAATAAGCCAAGCATAAAGAAAGCATGCCTCAGCTCAGTTTGAAACCTTTTTTCTTGACCACAACCAAAAGCATTCTCCACCTTTACTTGCCTAGACAGTGGCAAGTGCATCTCACATAACTAATTCTTAATTGCTTCTACAGTGGCAACCTGCATTTAGCAGGTGCTCAAGATAACTTTTGAGACAGATTTTTTTTCCCCAGTTTACCAAACAATCACACAAACAGGTATGCTAGCACCACAAATACGGAAATGGTGTCTTTTTTTAAATGCAGCATTACAGCTCAACACTGAACTCCAGCCCCATGCTGCAAGTTCATCTGCATGGAACTTTCCTCCCATTTTCCATCAGTTTTCCAAGTAATGGCTTCTCATTTTGAGATGGACAAACTTGTGTAAACTACAAGCCATATCAGCTCTCTACTCTTAGCTTGACTTTCCAGTGTCTTTATAAGGGGAAGTGACAGTGACTTCTGCCTGCATTTGGGAGCACTTCAGTTTGACTTCTTTTGCTGTTTCTCACAGCTTATCTTAAGCAGAGGGTTTTGGTTACACCCAGTCCATGAGGCTACTTTCCACAGATAATGTAATACCTATTATTTCACTCCAATTAGAATTGGAGCTATCTCTGAAGAACACTAGCTTTTTTTAGCTGGAAAAGACTAGGATATATTTAGTTGGAAATTTGACAAGTGTCACAAAAATAAGTTATAAATGCAACTTTTCAGAGAAGCTGATGCAACATGCATGACAAAATCTACTGAAGCAGTAACGCAAAAAAAGTACTGTCCTTCATGCTAAACTTACCTAATTTTTTTTCCAGACCCAAATTGTATCCACCCTTATGTTTTTCCTTTTATTATTTTTAAGCTGTTCAGCAAGAATTATACAAGACACAGATTTGGAATCTGAATGACAACAGTCAATGCTTACAGGCTACTTTTTTTTGTTTGTTTGTTTGTTTGAAATCTGTTGTTCATCATAAGAGTTATGGTAAACAGTGCTACAGCAAGTACTACCAATAAAAACTGAAGATAGACAGCATGTTTACAAGTGTGCACTTTTTACACAGAAGTGCAAAGTTTACATTTCTAATAATCAAGCATTATTTCTAGAATTTATTCTTCAGTACTGGACAGTTTCTGTATACGTGCAAAGTAGAAAACAATCTATTGCCTAAAAATAATTCTGGTGAGCAGCTTTAGATTTATCACACTACGCTGACTGAAAATCCCAGCAGCCACTGTTGGCAATGAATTTAAAACAAGTAAGTCTCAATACTTACAGAAAACTGATAGGAATCTCCAATTATAAAGACACCGACTGCTGATTTTCAAAAAACGAGACGTAGCTCAAGATACTGGCATTTTTGAAAAGGCTTCCTACTGTCTTTAGAACTGAGAAAGGCAAATCGAGCAAGTAGACACAGCGTTCATTCAAAGAGTTTTCAGAAATATAACCTTACCATAGGGAGCCCTTCCAGCTAAAGGGTTTATTAATGGAGTTGGATTGCCACTTCCTTCCCTTCTGTTTCTGTCTGCTAGTGCTGGAAAATCTGAGAGGTCCAGTCCTGTCACATTTTCACTTCCATCTACAACAAAAACATGTATTTTCTTTTTTTTTTTTTCCTCTGGCTTTATTTATTTATTTTTACTTAAAAAAAAAAAAAATTGAAAAACCTCATTATGCACAAGATAAATCTTGGATATACTTTCTTCCTTCCAATTGATCTTATCACTCTTACACTTATGATCATCACAAACACATACAACATCTGTACTATGACACTACTCTCAAGAGTATCGAGATCTTCTTTAAACAAATGCAGTCAGTAGTACTTAGTAACACTGTTTGCTCATTTTTAATTAAACACTGCATATGTGAGATAGAAGCAGACTATCAAAACTATAGCATTAGGATAGGTAACCCATTTAAAATGTAAGGAGCTATCACAGAAAGATTTCAAAGAAAATAATCACCCATATCATCAACAAGGAGCTCTTTTCTGCTTAGATAACACAAGACAAGGTAAAGTCCAAACCACTGCAGAGCCAACGCAGCACGAGTAACAAGGGAAGATTTTTCAGTTTGCAGTGATAAAACCACATGGGTGAGGAGAGCAGCACAGTTCCATAAGGATGTCACAAGGCCGTGGGGATGCCAAGCCCCTCGGAAGCCAAGGCTTCCATGCTATGACATCAGCAGCATCTCCGGGCAGGCAGCCACCAACAAGCCAATACCAAAGCACTGCAAGCCTATAGCACCATTACACGAGAACACTGATCTCTTTAATTCATTAGATTCAGGTGAAGAGTAATTCCCTGGGAAAAAAATCACAACTGAAACAACTGACTGAAAGGATCACTTTGAGGTCTCTAAAAACGCTGCCCCGTTGTGTTTATCCTCCGTAATGTTTGAAACTTTTATTCTCCCATTTCCTTTTCAATTCCATAAGCTACTTTGCATTTCTAACTGAACAGATACAACTTCCAGCCAAGTGATTATTCTATAGCAGACTTATACTTTGCCTTTCAGAAGTATTACAAGCCACTACTCTGAAGCAATAACAACTGATGGCATAGCACTGTTTTTGTTATTTTATGCCATGGGAAAACAAATAAACCATTAATACACTTATTTCTCCACAGAATCTTGAAGCTAGAATAAAGTACTTTTTCTGCATTGTCAGGTTTACAGAATCTGCTGAAGATCATGCAGAGTTGTTCTCTAAAGGCATCACTTCCGTGCAACAACTGCACTCACAGTATTTCTAAGCTTATTCAATCAAAACCAAAATCTTTCTATTGAACTGGGAGATCAGCATAAATTAAGAGTAAACTCACCTGTTCCATTAAAAATGTTACTTGATAAGGAGTTATTCATTCCAAATGCCTGATTTCTGTTCATCCCAAATCCAGACATACTGTGAAAAAAATCCAAGAAGTCAGAGAAAAGAGTAGAGACTTTCATAATTTCCAGTTGAAGGCACTAAGTAAAAAAGCCAAAGGCACTTAAATTACGTCATCTTAAGCAATCCACATTAGCCTAAACTCAACTTTTTATTACTTGCCTTTATACCTTTGAAAATTCTGAACAGCAATGAGCATTGCTGAATAAATGCAACTAGAATGACTTCAAAATAACCTGATATATATATATTTTTTTTAACAGCCACAACTCCTTTGACATCTGTCAGCCAACAAGTTATGCCAAATGTGCATTTTACTCAGTAATTTCATACGTAAAAATGAAATATCAGTAAAGACAATAGCAAAAAGTCAGACCAGAGAGCATTCATTTGAGGGTGGAAGCTGAATCATTAATGTGATTACATTTGTCATGACTCAATTAAAAGCTGGAAAGTTATTGTGTGCAACCATCACAATGTATGGTCTCTGCCACACAAGGACACCAGTTAAGTTAAAGTATCACACAGACAAGTAAAAATATTTGAAGACATCTAAGAATCAGATAGGACTGCTGTGGTCTGACAAACACTCAAATGACCTGTTCCATTCCTGTGCAAACTGAAGATGTTAAGCAGTCACAAAGTAGCCCAGAGCTGAGTGAAATTCTGTTATTTCTGCCCTGTGGGAAACCACAACATTCATTTCCCCCTGTAAGAGGACAAAAGTTGATATTTTATAAGTTCCTGTGCATAGAAGCGTCAAGTTTTCCTACAAGAATTTTTATTTATATGACTTTTTCACATTTTTACAATTAATTTCAAGCCCTAAATATTTTGTTTTTGACTGAGACATCAAGGAAAGGAAACAGTCAAGAATGGTTCCACTCTGCTCTGCTTTAGCAAGATGGTGCATTTGAAAGACATCCGAATCTTTGACACTTCATGAACTAGGAGAAACATTTCTGGTATCCTCTGTGAATCCTGGACTTGGTGAGAACTCCAACCAGAGATAATTTGATCTTGAAGGAATATAACCTTGCTTGGTCACAGACAAGCTTCTCATGCAAGATTTTTTTTTTTTGTTCATTTGTTTTTAAAGTAATCAGAATTAACTAGATCAAGAATTTCAGTGATAAGAAAGGGACTAGGCCACCAGATGCGTATTTCCCTACACTTGTAAACTGTTTGTTAACCAGTGTTACCCCAGCTTTCAACACATTTTACTGACGTAACTAAGAAAGAGAAAGTTAAGTATTTTGTGTGTTCAAAGACCTAAAATCATTCTTTGCTCCAAGAAAGGGAACAATTCTCAAAACACTTCATGGAAGTTATATAATTCATGCACCTCTCAAGGAAATAAAACCTTTTTTATTTCAAATGTCATGTCACCATTTCATTAAATATAGTCAATTAACAATTGGCTATGTACTATACTTTTGTAGGCTAATAAAGTGTGAAGTAAGAACTTGGCACTGTTCTAGTAATATGTCCTTTTCAACTTGTAAAAACTGTGTCATCATTAACATGAGCTATAAAACACAACAAAAGAAAAGGGTTTTCATTCAAATGCTCCTACAGAATGGGATTTCATTATCTCTCTCCTCCAGCTTGATGTTATTTAAACAAGTACTTTCTACGCATCAATCTCCAAAATCATCATTCTCTGCACACTGATCTTTTTTTTTTTTGATCCATGCTCAAGTTTTACAAACGCTTTAAAATATAAAACTATCTTTTTAAATTATCATCTCCTTTGCTTGCTGGTACATCACAGGAAAGAAAAGGCCAAGACACAAGGGTTACTCTTTAAGAAATGCCTCCTATTTTACTCTGTTAGCTCACAACATCAGAGGCGGATGTTGGTGGTATGGCTGTGGGGGTTGAACCATACCAAGAATATTCTGTTTCATTTTGTTGCCACGTGACAGAGGGCAGCAGAGGGGCAGTCTGATAAAACGGCCTCTTACGTGGAAGTGCGGATAAGCAAAGGTGTGGAATTGAATTCCTCCATGTGGAAAAAAATGGCATCTACTGGCATTTGCTGAATGTTTATGGAGACCAAACAGTGGATGTGAGCACAGTGAGGTAGTGGGTGGTGCATTTCAGCAGCGGGTCACCTCAGCTGGTGCAGATTTTGACAAGCATGGCATGCGGGCTCTTGTTCATCACAGGCAAAAATCCACAGCTAACAGCAGTGACTATGTTGAAAAATGGTGTTTTGTAGCTGAGAATTCACTCTATTAAACAGTGGTGTTGTGTTTTCTATATCTGTTGTAGTTTCCATGGAAATAAATAGGAGGCATTACTTTCAAAGTGGCCTCTGTCCAAAGTCTTCTTACACTTCAAGAACACAAACTGCTATTACCAAACCTTTATTGCTGTGATGAAGAAAGAAGTTATTTAATGCCTATATCATAATGCAGAGATACAGAATTAAATAGAATGACCAAGTTTCAGATAACTGGCATCCATTTTCCTTCATTTGTTTAGTAAAAATACTACACCATGTTAGAAGTGGCATTTGACTGCCATGAGTGTATTGGAGCTCAGTCTCCTAGGCTAGGGCATGAGGCAAGAAAGAGCAACAATCTGGGAACGCGGGGATCATGAGGTTCTGGAAAGAAGCCTGGAAAATAGTCAGCTGTGGGAAGCCAGTTACATGCTATGTAATCAGAATTGACACATTTTATTACAAGGTTATCAATATAAACTAAGCATAAACGTACCAACAACAGTAAAAGCACAATGATTTCTGATGCCACAATCTTGCCCAGAATTAGAAGAAAAAAAAAGCAGAAGTAACTGAGAAAATTCTGGTATCAAAAATGAGTACCTTAGATGAGTTGTAAACCACTGCTTTCCATATTGTTCCAAAACTTAAAGAAGTAAAATATGAGGTCTACACTATGTCCAAGTCAGCTGACTGTTCTTACAGAATAACTATTTAGAAATAGTTATTCTGGATTACCACTTGCCTTAATTCTTCCCAAACTCATAGATGAGTAGTTTTCAAGATGTATACACACAAAAACCAAGGTCTGATTCAAAAACAAACTCTCGAACACACTAGAAACATCACATGTTTTAAAGAAGGAGCAGTAGAAATTAAGTAGTCAGAAACGGAAGTTAGCTGAAAGGCTGCAATGTGCCTGCACAAGCACTGAGTGCTTTGAAAGTTAGTACCAAGAGACTGGAAGACACAAAGTGGCACTCCGAAGTTTTATTCTAATGGATAAAAAACTAGACTTTGAGAGCAGTACTTAAGCACGCCCATGGCTGCACAGGGATGGTCTGACCAAACAGCCTTACCTGTTCACAGTAAAAGGTTGTCGAGAGGGTTGCTGCTTTGGCATACATATTATGCTTGGAGAGCTTCTGTTGGGGCTGCCTAACCCTGAACTGCTCATGCTGTTTGTCCTGCTGGGAATTCCAATGCCCTGACCAACCTGGGAGTGGTTCATCATATTCCTAGGATTCATAGGCAATATCCCCCTGAAAGAGAAAAACCATCCACGGAGATGAATCTGTGCAATAGTATTTGGTTACTCACTTAAATTACTCATGTTGGATAGACTTGGAGCTGTTGCAACTTAATTTGTGCTTAGATTCAACACCGCGTGTTTGGATTACTCTCTATAATTAACGTAGTTTTGGATTTCTTCAGAAACACCAGATGACCCATTGCGTACCAATCAAGTCCTCAGTCAGGTTCAGATAAATACTTAAGTACTATGCATTTGAAGAGGCGTTACAACTCTTATTTAAAGAGCACTTAGGACCTACTACCTTAACGTTCTCACACGGTGCAGAACAGCCGTATAAAAACGTTTACCATTTGTTTACCAGAACAACCAAAAAACAGACTCTTACATTCTGAAGCAGAATTTGCCAGCAACTTATCCTTTACATACAAAATCAAACACTGTCTTACGTTAAGCCTTATCCTACTGTTTTACAGTATTACTTACCCAATACAGGCAGCGGTCAATAAAAATTACTGTTTTTCTTTTTTAATTAATCAGTCTAAAGTAGCTGTGGCACGATACGCAGAACATTTAGTAAGTGCTCTGCTGAAAGACACAATTGCAGAAACATTGGCTATCAATAAATACCTGCTCGGAGATGGAGGCGTGTGAAGTGACATTGTTGGTACCCCTGTTGTTGGCGTTACGTGGCTCGGTAACTGAGTGCCTTGTGATAAGCTGCGATTTAACTGAGGGGTATTGTTGCTCATTCCCCTCATTGGAAGGCCTAGTGCACCTATTGAAAAAAAATTCAGAGGGGTGGAGATACATAGCGATCCGGAACAAAGTCTTAGCCATCAGGTGTGGATGGAAACAATTTATGCTGACAACCTCAAAAAGTGTAAAGACTGTAGGAAAGTGCAGTGTAAAATGAAGTCCTTGCCTGCATACTACAAGCCCAGTTATCTCACACATAGCCCCATTCTAGTCAAACTTGAGAAAGGCTCCTCACAAAATTTTTCTTTAAGTCACTAACGGAATTCTGTTTCCTTTGAGATGTACTCTGAATAGAACGGGGGGGAGCTGTGGTTTTGTTGACGAGGACGTGGAAATCCACATATTCAAAAAGTCGGTGTTTCGAGAAAAGAAATATCTCCACTCAAGAGATGTTATTACACTTGAATAAATTGATACATATTTGGCCAGCATTTAGAACGTCAGTCTAGCTTGTAAAAAAATATGCAAGCCTGTAACTAAAAAAATAAAACTAGGCACATTTCATAACATGGCTTTCAGGGCACAAGAATAAATATTCTAGGACACTCCTCTGTAAAACTGAAGTTGGTTCTTTCAGATCAGGCAATTTCAGTGTCCAAAGTCAGGTTAAATTTAATTTCTTGAGGTCTGAAAGCAAATAGGATTTAAGCAGCTTCAGCTAGCAATTAAAAGCGTACAGAGCTGGTTTGGGGTTTTGCCTGTTTGTTACTTTTGTTTTTTTTACATTGTGATCAAAATTATTTTCTACGCAAGCATTTGTGTGCAATGAAATAACATAAGCACACACACACACACACACACACACAAATCATCTCAATTCAGAAGAACAAAAAATAACCTGTCTCAAAATGTCAGAATACTTTATGGAGTTTCTGATCATTTCCACATTCCTTTTCTGTATTCAAGGAGTTTTAGAAATACGCCCAAAGACAAGAGAAAGCCATTTAGTGCAACATATCAACAGAAACACACTTGCATCTATAACACGATAGCTATAAATAACAGCCCTATCGCTTCAGTGTGAGGCTGCTGAGGAAGCCTCAGAGAATTAAAAACCTTATCTTGCAGACAAAAGGAAGAAAAATTAAGACGAATCAGCACTCTCCAATGATAGATCACCCCTTCAGCAGAGCTGAATATGCCAGCGTACGACATGATGAAATACTAAGATCACAAAGGATGGACACAGCATATGCTCCAGTTATTGCTATGGATGAGGGCTGAAGAAACCTCCCAGCTGTTGAGCTCTCACTCTTGCAGAAGCGCTGCCTGCCCCGGTGTTCTGCCCTACCATTCACTGCAAGTCTGCAACGAGGGATTTGGGTAACATTCCAGTTTATCAGTTGAGATTAAGAAGTAGCGTGACTCACTGTAACAAGCCTCCTAAGACTTCATTAATTGCTGATGATATCGAGGTGTTTGCTGTAAATACTTTGGCAATTTGTTGCATCAGAATAATTTCTATGAGCATAAGTGTATATTATAAAAAGTACTTCACACCAATTAACGATTAGCTGGAATTGAAAAAATAAAATGGTAAAGGAAAAAATCCATGCTCTTCTAGAGATGGTACACTGAAAAAAGTGATTACTGTATTCAGGTTGATTTTGTGCAAGCATTTGTTCAAACGCAGTCAGTTTTTCACTAACAGCGTTTCTTCTAGTTGTTGCTTTTCTTTAATTAGAATTCTTAATGAGTAGTTCTGCTACTGTATTCTGCTACTGTGGCTGGCAAGGGCAGCTGAAATATTTGCCAAAGAAATCCCAGATAAACAAAACAAAAAAAAACAACAATCAAAACCATCCAAAGAAACCTTCTCTTATGCTTTATGTTTCTCATATAAACTGAGACGAGAAATCTGTCAACTGATTAAGTGGTTAATTTTTAATGCCTACAAATTAAGTTTAACTTAACTCTATAGAATGACATCTTGCTCAATGACTGACAGCTATAAATCTAAAGCTGCACAGCAGCTTTGTCTCTCCCAGAATATTTTAAATATAAGAATTTACAGGAATACAGCAGTTCCTTCATATTTGGAAGAAAGTGAACCCTGAAAATATTTACTTCTGAATTTTTAGCCACACAAGTCTCCATCTTCAAGAGATTGTGGCCTAGACACGACAAATAACTGGAATGAACAACAAAGTTGATGAAAAAAAGTTACCCCTAAAAATAATCAGCTACTTCAACATCTTTATGCAGCTGAGCCTGAAATGTCAGGTTAGGGACCCAAAATCCAAACCTGACTCTCAGACTGGCCAGAAAGTCCCAGGAGTGCAATCAAACACGCACTGGTATGACACAGTCACACATCAACAGCCACGGGGATAGAAAAAAACAATTTTAAAGTCACTATGCTTTCTAAACCACGTGAAGAAAGCCTAAAAAAGCTACGAAGGCCATGCTCTTGGGAGACAAAGCTTTTAGTGTGTTCAAATTAAAATATCCACACTCTAAAATATTCTTAAGACACCTTTCCTTAGTGTCTGGGTCAGACGGATTTGGCTAGAAAGCTGCAAACATTCAAAAGTGTGGAGTCATGAAAGATGTTCACAAACCTGTTTTACTTGTGAAACTCTTATCTGACTCAGGTGCTCTGAGTCACTCTCTATGTCTGCCCCTCTTAACTTCAGGGAGGTTCAGCTCTTAACTCCAGCACTTACATCAGCTCTAGCATTGCACAGTATTACTGTTTCTCAGGATGCCTTCATTAGCAACAGTATACACAAGGCTGGCAGATGCAAGAAAAAAATATCTTCAAGAGATAAAATACAATAAACAGCGGAGCAGAAGGAAACAATCTTCCTGGTGTAATTCTTTGCCAAATTTGAGTTGTCAAGCATACAGACAAGATTTAATTTGCTCCTATAAACCATAAAGTACAATTTCCCTCTAGCCCTTAGATGTTTTTCTGAAGGACGTTCAGTTTGGCCCAGCTCACCTTCCTTAGTTTTTCTTCAGTTAGTTAAGTCCCAGATACTCCTTATAGGATGACTGTATTTGGATATTTAAGTTACACAGTGTCAATACGTGACACCTTGTTTACCAAATGCTGCAGAAATGGATGACAGACAATGCAAAAACGTATTTTCCAAAATAAATGAAGTTACACATTTGACATTACACAGTCTTCTTTACAATCACCAAAAATGCCAAACCCGACACGTTGCTATCCAAAGAGCATAAAACTAGAACATCTAATAAAAATCAATAAAAGTAATTCTTACTTTGTTGCCCGTATAAACTTGCCCCAAACTGAGACAGCTGACCTGATGTTGATGGTGATGCCAGCATCTAAAATTTTAGAAAAGAACACAAGGTTATTATAGACACAGAGATATGATGGTAGCTCGCTCTGGAAGTTTGCAATAGCATGTTATTTTGCCATAAAAGCGACTAAAAATCCCCATCTTTTTTTCAACCATCAAGTTTTAGAAACTTCCTAAAATATCTGCACAGTAATAACAGCACATCCCATGTCAACACATCCAACTCTGCATGTAGAAAACCAGACTTTCTTTAACTTACAAAAAAATAGCATAGAGGAAGAAGATGCAGAAGCTTTCAGTTTTCCCAGCCTTGCAGCTAAGAGAGCCATCTTTACAGAAAGAGGAATACTCCGTTATTTAAATCAGATGCAGGGCTTTTTTTCCCCTGCAAAACAGGGGAATTCAGTAACAGCAAGTTCAAAGTTTCATATTGTCAGTTGTAATTGCAAACAGTGGGAAACGAGCGTCTAGGTTGCAGCTGCTATACAGAAACAGATTTACACATGAGACAAGATTCAAATACTGAAATTATAACACAGTAACCCCTAAAAAGCAAGCATCATGCCCATAAGGCACCATATGAACATCTAGGATGTACAAATATCAGATGAAGTAAAGTTTCCTGCTTCATCGTGCCCACTTTATAGATACTTCATATTATCAAACATTTCCATCAAAACTTTTCATGTCCACTTCCAAACACCACGCATGGAATGTGACAAACTGGAGACTCCCAAGAAAAGTGACATTCAAAAACGATGACAGCTACAGCAGGGACAAGATACCAGATTTTCAGTCACAACTGAAAGGAGGAAAAGAAATAAACCACTCTCCATGCTGCTGCAGAAATTGGATGTGTTAATAATGTGAGGCGAGGAACAGAAGATTGAGGCTAAATTTTTAGGAAAAAAAAAAAATCTTTGCAATCTTTAATTAAGCACTGGATTACACAGCTTCCCTCTGCCAGTATCCATCCCTGAATATTCTTAAAGAATCAGTCTGATGCTTGGCAACATTAGGTCTGGCTGGTTTACCCTTGGAGCAAAAAGGGGTAATTAGCTGACCTGACCCATCCTGTTCACAGCAGAACAGGCTACCCATACCTTGTAATCCATAGGCAGACATTGGTGTGTTCAGTGCCTGAATCAGGCACTGTAATCAGGGCTTGAACTGAAAGATGGTTCCAAGGAAAGGGATGCCTGGATTCTTAAGTGTACTCTCACGCTCTCAGTTTGAGTTAAAAAGCAAACAAACAAAAACAAACAAACAAAAAGAAACCCCAGTAATTAAAATTAAAATACACATTACTGTGGTTAACTGCAAACTGTTCTGTTGAATTAATGTAGACAGATGTAAAGCTCAGACCTTAGGAACCGTCCAGCTAGTTGTCTGTGCTGGAGCCAAATGCAGATGGCAGAAATGAGAAATAAAACTTGCAGGGTAGACGCTACATCTCAAGAGTAGTTTTGATGGCTATAACTTACATCAAGTATTTATGACTTTTTGAATACATACACAAGACACGAGAGGAAAATGTGCAGTGGAAAATAACTATTGTCAGAAAATATATCAGAAATATTACCTCAAACTTGTATATGCTCATACTACTCTATGTGTTTGGTAGAAAGCAACCACAGCAATAAACATGCACACCTGCATACATAAGAGGTCTGAACTACTAAGACAAAAACTTTCTACAGAAAAAACTTATAGCTAAAATAGATTCCAAGCTGGAACCAAGTCTTCCCTTCTTACAAGAGGACTGGCTGTACACAAAAGCAGTTTAAATAATCAGTTGCATCAGCTCAGCGGTCTGCATCAGCAAGTGACGTGGCCAAAGAGACATGCATTTGTAAACAAAAAAATGCTGGTCCTGAAGGCCTAACACACATTCTGTGTGCATTTTCTAACTTGAATTAGCCTTGTTTAGAACACCTGACCCCCTGGTTTGGCTGCCTCACTGTGAGTGGAAAATGTTTGCTGCACTCCAGGAGCACCTCTTCAACCCAAAGAATCAAACTGATGAACACTCTGCAGTGTGAACCAAAGTGGGGCACTTGGGAGGATGGGCTCCAAAAGCATGTTCTCCATCCCAACTCAGATTTGTTAAACACTGACAGAACAGGCTGATACGGTAGTTTCACCTCATCTTTCCTTTCTTGGAATGTTTAGGAAAAAAAGAAAACACATTGCAGTTTGACAAACTGGAAAATCCTGGAATAAGTGGCAAGGTATGGCAAATTGTAACTCCATGCAAAAAATAGGAGTTATGAGAGTACCTGAAAAAAAATAAAATAAATAACAACAACAGACACTGAGATAGAAATAGCAACAAAATTACTACCAGTTTTGGGTTAGACAAGCAGAATGGTTATGCCAAAAAGAAAATCCCACAGTAGCTGCTTAGGTTATTTAAAACTTGCTGTGATAGCCTGTGATATAATAAGGGGAAGATGGTACAAATCTAAGCAGAAAAAAAACAAAACCACAGACCTAAGAAGTACTAAATTACTTGAAAGGGAGGAAAACGAAGTTTATACTGAGCACCACTTGCTTTTAAATCCAGTTAAGGGAAAATGAATGGTAAATAATATTTAATGAACAATGCTTATTAAAAATTGGATTTTCTTTTGAACTATTTCAAAGTAGGTCACATGCATTGTTCCATTTGCTTTATAGGAAAAGTTAAACTCATAAGTTAAACTTGCAAAGAAACCCTTATGAAAGACCAGAATAAGGGCCAAGGATTAAATTCAGCATGTCTAACAACTCATTTTAAGGTCATCACATACCCAGGACACCAGGGATAACAAGATTCATGAAGAAAAAGGAAATTCAGGGGATCTGTTCCAGGCTGAAGTACTTCTCAAATCTCATGGAGAAGGATGTTGTATGCGTTTCTCTCTTATTCTGTCTCATTTGTTTGCCAATATGTCAAATATATACATCAAGATATTTCTGACATTGTAATGTATCACTAAACCTCACCAAATACACTTTTCACTGAAGTTAGGAGCCATTTACAATCATGTCTACTTTTTCTACTGTTTTCATACTACTTATGGCCACAAAAAAAAAAAAAAGAAAAAAAAAGAAGGAAAAAAAAAAATACTAGATTAGCCAAAATCTTAATGTTTGGTACCAAAACCTCTTTTTTACACACCAAACCTCTGAGCCACTATTAAGTATCCTCATCCAAAGATAAAGACCCAAAGCAAGTGCTATTAACATTTCTCCCAGCATCATTTATTTTTTCTGGTTGGACTATCAGCCACAAGATACACAATTCTCTAGATTGTGTATCTAGATACACAAGATACCAATTCTCTAGGAGCACACCTAAAGGGTGCACACTCATGCTGAGCACATACAGAATACCATTCTGCAAGTTGGAGCATTTTAGTTCAATCATTCTGCTGGTGGTCAACAGCTGCAAAACCCAGTTGTGCTAAAACATGGCATTTCTCTATTCCAACATAGCATGACTTGACGTATTTCAGGTGGCTTTCCTCTACACATTGTCACTGATTGAAGAAGCCTAAGGCTTGCATCTCTCAAAAGGCCATGAGATAATTCAACAACCAATCCCTTGTGCAACACCAGGACTGTGTTTTACTGCAGTAGTGCACTGAAGCACAAACACCCAGCAAGGGCAGACTGACAGACTGAGTTGCTGGTGATCAACTCAGACGAGAACACCACTTTGCTCACAAGCTCCAGATGGTCACAGCGCATTCTGACCATGTAAGATTCTGCTTCTAAATTTGAATCAGCTGATTATTCCAGCAGACAGATCAATTTCTTTGGACTGGTCCACATCAAAAAAATCAGTAAGTCAATAACATACTATCAGGCTACTTACCACTCCCCCTGATGAACCAGATTTTATCATCATTACTTTCACTAAATATTGATGGATTTCCTGCAGCAAGTTAGAAGTATGAACAATCCTGAGAAAAAATTGCTTGAATTTGGTAGAGCTGCATAACAGTTGCTGCATTTTCCAACAGGTGAGCTCAGGCCACAGCCTCCTGATGCGGCAGCACCAAGGCCACCACGCCATGCAGTTACAGCCTAAAGCCACCTTCTTTAACATAAAGCAAGCAGGCCTCAATCTCACTCCAGAAATTCAGCTCCTGAAAGCATAAGATGTTAGAATAAGCAAATAAGTGTGTGAGTAATATCTGGCTTGATAAATGATGGCTTTCTCACAGGTGCAAGCATCAGCATCATTCCATATTTGCACTACTTTATTTCTGGTAACTGCCATCTGTGCTGCACTATTTAACAACAAAACAGCTGACCTACAGCCTCAAAAGGAGAAAATGTTACAGCAACGTGCATAAAAACCCCGAGCCAATGAATAACTAACTGATAGACGTGATTTCCTATGCCCTCGACAGTTCACTATGCAGTATTATTAACAGTTCTCCTCTATATAACAAACTGGGTTTTAATATGGGATTCATAAAACTCACAACAAAATTTATATATATATTCCCAAATTGGAGAACAATGAATAAATTTTAAAAGTCAGGCATCCGGAACGAATTATTTGTAGGCAAAATTTTTTCTCATCTCCATTACTTGTGAAAAATAAAACCAAACACAATAGCTAAGAAATACATGAAATTGCATTCCAGCTTCCAGACTTCATCCTCTGAGGTTGTGGTCTCCCATGTCTGGTGGTGCCTGGGAGCACACAGGGGTAAGGAACATAATGTAAGCACCACCTCTCATGCTGCAGTTACCTGAAATTTTTCTCCTGTAGGCAGTGGTATCTGAGATATTGCCATTGAGTGACAATGACATTACTGATTGACATTCATTGTTATGGCAGAGGTTAACATGGCTTTTCAAGTAGAACTTTAAAAGCCAATCTCTCTGGGTAGAAACAATCCGTTTGATGATTTGGCACATTAAGGTGCCAAATGATTACTAAAAGCTTGTTGAAAGCGATGCAAAGAAATGCCATAAGACATGAAGATCTAGGAGAGCAAAGCAAATATTTTGTTCTAACCAAAA